GCAGGGCTCTTTGATGGCCATATGAAACCTTTGGCTAGGTTTTCATCAAGATACTTGCAGAGTTTGGCCATTTCCTTTGGTCCCTTGAGATATAATGGTCCTTGAGGGGGCTTACTATTTTCAGCCAGTTCAAGCCATAGATCATGCTCCATGTGTGGTGGTAGCTTGTCTGCTTCCACCTCATCGAACACCTCTCATAGATGTTGGTACAGTTCCAGTATGTCCTTGACCATAACTGGTTTATCCGCTTCTACCTCCATTTCTACCCCTCGATTGGCTCCAGTAGGCACAAATCCAAATGCCAGAAGAAATGAGGGTGGAGTGTCTAGCAGCATAAACCCAATAGGGCCATCCTCCAAAGCTGCTTGGATCAGTCTTTCTGCTGATACAAACTCATGTCCATGAAGCTTAATAGACTTATAGTTCTTATCAGGGGGATCCTTTTTGTTTATCTTTGGGGGTGCCTGTCATAGGGCTCCTGATTCTTCTGGTTGGTCCTTCTGAGCTTGGGTCTTGAATTCAAGTTGGCCAGTATCCCACTGGATTGTTGGTCTCAACCTTTTCAATTCCAAGAAACCCAGTATGAGGTCATACTCAGCAGTGTTGGCTACTGATGCCTCCACTGCCCCTAGTTCATGTTTTCCAATAACTACCTGCACTGTAGCAGAGCTGTTAATGGTGAGTTGGTGTCTGGTGACACCATGTACAGTTTGTGTTTTTGTTGGTTTTGTGTTTAAGTGGTACTTGTGGACAAAAGATTCTGAAACTATGGATAAGCCTGCACCAGTGTCGGTGAGTATTTGAGCTGGGTGATCTTGGATCATACCCATTAACTCAAGCACCACCTTGCTCATGTTAGTGGAGAAACAAATGTAACATTCTTGATATGTACAAATGGATGGCAACCAGGGTTGTAGAGCGATGCATGCCATCAGGGCATTGTCCCACTGACATTTCCCTCCTTGTCCTCCTCATAATTGCTCTCTGCTTTGTTGGCGAGAGATAACTGAGCAAGCTTGAGGCTGGCTTGCTTGACTGAATATGCATCTTGCAGTTCTTCTTCAGTCATGCTTTCCTCCTCAGGACTTGATTCTCCCTTGGGGGCATCTTCTATGGTCACCATGACTTTTGGACCATTAGGTCTGGTTGTCGTTGGCATGGGAGGTTTTCTAGTGGGACAATCCCTTGCCCAATGTCCTGTGCCTCTGCACAAATGACAGGTATTGCTGTCCTGAGGGTTAGCCTCCTTTGGCTTCTGGGCTTGTATCAGGTGAGAAGGCAGGGGACGATTACCAAATTGGTATGAATTACCTGCAGTTACAGGTCCAGGTTGTTGGGCCTGTGGAATTGCTGATGTTGTTGCTCATGCAACCGGGTTTGTGCAAGATGTAAGTATGCTGGGATATCTTGAGGCAGAATGTTGCATCACCATACATTGACAATCAATGTCCTCTACCTCTCAATACCATTCCCAAATACTTGTAGGTGGGTTTCACTCAAACTTCTCCTGAAGGCTGCGGGTGAGGGTACTTCTGAATAAGTCAATAACCAAGTCCCTATCCTCCATATTGACTTGCCCTTTGAGGTCTCTGAACCGTTCAACATGTCGAGTAGCTGCACCAGGTGTGTCAGTTGTGAGTTGCATGTTGAGTAGCTTGTTGTAGGCTTCGATTCTCGAATTGCGTGGGTTGTATTGTTTGGTCAAGCATTGTCTGAAATAATGCCAGTCATGGAACAATCTCCCTTGTCATTCATGATCAATTCATATCTTGGATGTCCACCATTCACGAGCATTTCCTTCTAACTGGGACCCTGTGTGATGGATCATGCTCTTGTGGTCATATACTCAATTGAATGCGAGCCATGTTTCAGCTTCAATCAGGAAAATTTCCACATCCCTCAGATTGAACTTTGGGAAAGGGGTGGAAAGTGGTTTAGACTGACCAGGGGAAGGCTCCCCCATGTTCTTGATGTCATATTCAGTGTCCCTAGGTATTCCTTCATAGGGCTGACTGTATCTCAGCCCAGTAGGGGTTGCATACTTCTCATAGTTTGAATATGATTGCATGTTTTGACCTAGGAATGACCCCATCCTGTGTGGTCTGGGTGCTGGGTTGGGTTTGAATGACTCCTCATTGGTAGACTCCTCAGACTGACTGTTGCTCCTGATGAGGGCTTCCAATGACTCCAACCTTTGCACAAAATGGTTGGTAACTGTCTAATTCATTGATAGGAGCTTCTCCATTCTTTCTTTGGACCTTTCCATTATTCTCTGCAGCTCCTCGAACCTATCCTTGGTGTCAGGCTCTGTCATGTTGTCGTGGGGCACAACTTGAATGATCCACTCTAATGTAAGCAATTGTGCACCAGAGACTAACTGAGGTTGATTGAGTAAGGTCTACTCGATATGTTTCGCCTAAACATAACCAAGCATCACCACCTAGTAAGTCTCGACTGACTGCCTTGAACACTCCATTCAGAGGTTGTGCAGCACAAATGTTGTTTGTTGGTGAGTGGGTGATACACCCTCCCTTACAGTATGAGTGTTCGTAGTACTGTTGATATGCTCTTGGATGTCGTCTGGACCACGATATGCCAATTGCCTACAGAGGACATGAGTTACTGGACTGCTGGTGTGAAACACTGCCTACAATAACCAACTGGACTGCTGGTGTTGAGCAACACTGCCTACAGCAAGGAACTGGACCGCTAGTGTGAAGAACACTGCCTACAGTAATGAACTGGACTGCTAGTGTAAAGAACACTGCCTACAGTAATGAACTGGACTGCTAGTGTAAGGAACACCACCTACAGTTGTCGACTAACGGTGATACAACACACATGTTGAGAGTCGTTGCAAGAGCACTGCTATTGTGAAGATATGTAACCTAGTAAGTATAGAGTAAGTAGTAGAGTTTTCCAGAGTGGATGCCAGTCCACTCGAATGCTATGGTAGAAAGAGAGTATTTATACATTCGATCGGTGTTTTCCCTTGACACCTATCCTGCTCATCTTGAGGGGCCTTTGTCCCCTGTTAGGCACTGCCTTGCCCTGCTGGCATCATCCCCTTCGATACTGCACTCCTACCGTTTTGCTTGGCATAAGGGTTATGCAACACTGCCCTCTCGCCTTCATGCTCTCCTTCTGTCTGATGTGTGATGCCCCCTTTCAGCACGGCCCCCCTTTCATCTTAATCTTGTGAATCCCCTTTTGAACCTCGTGACCATACCCCCTGGTTATGTGGTCACATCGGCTCAGTTCCGTCTCGACTTGTTTGGATCAGCTGACTAGTTGAAGTGTGCTGATTTGACTGACTCCAACATTGGCACAGCTCCAAATACTTGTTCGGATCAGCTGACTAGTTGAAGCATGCTGATCCGACTGACTCCGTCGTCAGCACAGCTCTGAATACTTGCTCGGATTGGCCAACTAGTTGAAGCATGCTGATCCAACTGATTCTGACATCGGCACAGCTCCAAATACCTGTTCGGATCGGCCGATTAGTTGAGGCGTGCTGATCCGACTGCCTCTGTCGTTGGCATAGCTCTGAGTACTTGTTCAGATTGGCTGACTCATTGAAGTGTAATGGCCCGGCTGACTCCAACCATTCCCATGAGATCGATCTGGATTCCTGGGGTTCGATCGATCTCATAAATCATGTGTGCTGCCAACCTGATTAATCTCATTGATCCCCAATGGTTGTCGACTCTGATCAATCTGGCGCACCCTTCATATGTTGATCTTCTGCACACCCTTCATATACTGCTCCGTTACGTGACATTATCATAACTGCCGCTGATCATTTGGTGCACTCTCTTGCGCAGGCCAGCCGTCCCTGTGACACCCTCCTTCAACATGCTCCTCTATGATGATGCCCACCTCCCTGCACCACTTTCACTAGTGTATTGAGTCCCTTCTTCATTGGGTGGCAAACCCCTTCTTCATCTGTTGCCCACCAGCTGTGAGGTCAGTGATAGATGTATCCTCAAACCAGTCTTCAGGAAATCTGTTGTACAAGCTGGGTACTACTGATCCCAACAGATTCTGTAGTAGGGCTTCTGCTACTACCAATCTTGACAGATTCTGCCATAGAGCCTTCAATCCTACTGATCTCACCAATCTCTGTCAGAAACCTCGCATAGCCCAATCCATGATTGTTGCACCTGGTCACTTCATCTGACTCCCGTTCTTCCTGCACATCCATCTGTTCCCATGACACCCCCTACTGAAGCAAGTGCATCTGAGCTGTTGAAGTTTGATAGCGTTTGGGTCCCAATACTGGCGATTGGGGAGAGTCTAAGTATGATGTCACTGCTAGTTTATAGACAGAAACAAATATACTCAATTGACTGAAGGAATGTGGTGAGAGCCTAGTGCTCTCTGTGAGATATATATACATCTAGATGGTACATGCTGGATGTGGGTGCATTCTCCTTCATGACAATGCCTGACAATGAGTGGGACCATGTTGTATCCAGTCTCTGATGAGATCAGCTCCACCCAATCTTTGACCGGATCGGCTTTGCCCAATCCCTCCCGTATCGTCTCATGTTACCTCGCGTCATCATGTTGGATTGCTAATTTTCAACATGAGCGTGTGTGGACGTTTTCGGCTGTCGGCGACATCGAAGTTGCAGCTTGACACTTTGAAATTTAGCTTGATGCTCAATAATTTGACGTGCATGGGCCTTCCTACAAGCTTGGCTTCGCTTCTTCTGTCACCTCCTTCATAGCATCACCCTTCTCGCTGTCACGAACACATCATTGGCCATGCCACAAATGTGTCACGGTTGCCGTGTCTGCTCAGCCTCGATGGATCCGTTTGGCTAAAATCGCGACGTCAAATCGAAGGCTCAGTCGAACGACTTCGGTCGGAGTTCGCGAAGCAGACGTGTGCACCTTTCGAGAGGAACGAGCCACCCCTGATGGACGGTTCCAGGACCTCATCAAGTGATTGCAACCATCATAAGAGGCCTCGATTGCATTCTCCATCTCGCATAATGATATCTGTTGCGGATCCATCCAGGCGGCTGCCTCCGGAGACCTTCTCGCACATTCTGAGCTTCTTGAAGCCACCATCCCTTGTGCGCTGTGCGCAAGTCAGTCGAGGTAAGTCAAGTCTCTTCAGCAAGCTCTAATGAGGGTTTCACAGCGCTGATACATTGCCATTACCTTTTTCATTGTCACCGCAACAGCTTGGAACGAGGTCTGTACGGACGAAGCAGTATGGCGTTCCCTAGCCCTTCGCCTTGGCTACTGCCAGTTGGAGCGGGCAGCAGAGGAATTAGAAAGCGGCATCAGGGTCGTCGCCAGCGTATTGCAGCGATTCGATCCTAACACAGAGCCAGATCCGTCCGAAGATCTGCTGCAGGCAACCATACAACGGTATCGATCGAGAAACAACACCGCCTACTTTGACGATTGCGAATCCTGGCGCTCGCTCTGCACCTGCGTCTGGCGCCTTGGTCTCAATTGGTCACCGCGTCAGCCGACAGGTGTGCTCAAGCCAGCGCCTATGACGAGAGCATGGGAGACCAAAGCAGTTTTTCGTGACCTCGACATCTCCGCATTAAGACGATGCGAAAGCCCGCCTACGACCGACCGAGAAATTGCCTGGGTTTCAGAACGACCAAAAACGATATCTTACCTTTTCCCGCAAAGACGTGTGCTGCACTTCAAGCAGAATGGATCTGGTGTCTGGAGGTGTAAGATCGATCCTGAAGAGAGGACCTTCATCGTGACAGGCCAGAACGGTGGGATCCAGGTCTTTGATCATAGTACAAAGACACTGCTGTGGCATATACCCAGAACAGCCACTCGGTCTTCTTCTCACCTCGAGTTCTCGCGTGGCTGGTTCATCTTCGATCGTCCTGGCATCGGCCACTTTGAAGTTTGGCGTAGCGAGAGGCTCGTACCTGACCTCGGTCGTGCTCCTGATCGAGGTCACTACCAACGCTTCACAATTCTCAGCTCCACCAGACCCATCCGAGCCTACCGTTTCCAGTTTCCATATTTGTGTGCTGCGAGCCAGGACGGCTTCATCACGATTTGGGACGTTCCACAACAGGAGGTGGTCGAGACCATCGACATGCGAGACTCAGCACACCGTGGCGGCAACATCACTTACATCGACTTTGACGACGAGTTTGTTTTTCTCAACGGTATTGGTGCCAAGTCGGTGTCAGTCTTTTCACGACGCACTCAGCGCCTGGTGTGGAGCTTGGGTCAGCATTTTGCATCAGGTGCATCACCTCCCACGACATGGTCCTTGAAGCAATGCCGGCTCTGGGGTCAAGGCCATGAGCCTGTCTTCTGGAACCCAGCTTTGATGCAGCGGCAGCTGGAGCGAGCACCTCCAGGCCCGTGGCAGGCGGGTCCCAATACCATGAACTCGGCGCAACTAACCATGGCGCCATATCAGATATGGTCGGCAGTGCATCCAGATCTGATGACTAGAACACTCCTCATCCTCGGCCAAGGAACGATCCTGCTCATTCGAGACTACAAGAAGTTCTTCCGTAATCCAGGCCAACGGCCAGAGCTTTTCGCCGAAATCGAGTTCGAGAACATGCCTGACTACTACCACTCACACATCCTGAATGGACAAGAGGACTGGTCAGGGCTAGGATGGAACCGCCGGCTTCTGTGGGTACAACGTGGCGACGCTCAGCTCACAGTGCACGAAGGCAAAGCCGTCATCATCAATCATTTCCCCGTATTCCTCGACCTGAACAGCGAAGCCGCTGCAATGCATTTCGGAGAAGGCGACACTGCACTCGAACCTGAGACACGAAGCAGCGCAAACAATCTGCCCGATGGATCACAGTATGGACCAGATCAGTCAGTAGCATCACCCATAGCTTCCCCACATCGAAGCTCCGACGAACGCAACAGAAATGAAAACAGTTCGGAGCGAAACGAAACAAGTGCTCGCATCCCAGTCCTACTATATACGCAAATCAACGGGCCCGTGCATGACTCATACGACCGCTGCAGCAGCGTCCAGATGGATGAGGTGGGAGTGTACGTCACCCTTGACAAGGATACCACCGAGTTCCCGGTGGAGGAAGATGAAGAGATGAACATTGACGAATTAACGGGCGATGACCGTGTGCTCCTTCACTTCGACTTCACGAAGAGGCACGAGCTCACCTACAACCCGGACGAATATCCCAGTCTGTTCCCTGAGTATGCAGCCGAAAACACAACCGTACCTCCGTAATCGCAAGCTTGTTCCCATTTTCCATGTAGTTCTGCAAAGAAAGCTTCTGCCCCGCTGTGCTGCCTGTCTTCCCCGTGTTACCTTAACGAAGCTGTGGTCTGAGGATGCCGTATGAAGGTTTGCAATGTGTTGCTGATGCGCGAGATGTAAAGTACAAGGATAAGATGGGCTCTCGCCGAATCCCACTTGGTGGAAAGCAGAGTACTGAGAGTGGTATGAGATTTGCGTGCTTGAAGGATGAAGCGACTAATGTTCTAAGAATCGAACGTCGCCTCGCTTTGGTTCTGTGCAGCGGCGGGAGCAGAGTAGTCAAAGTTGAGCACAGCGTCAGCTGTTGTCAACCTCAAGACGAGATCGTCGTCTTCGATCCGAGAGAATGACTGATACTTACTGACGATAGGATGCAACTGTGCCATATAAATGATGAACCACATGAGGTACATGCATGTCAAAGCGATGGTTACTGATGTGCGGATCAATCTGCAACCACAAAGATCAGAAAACCCCATCATCATCCTATCAGCGCTGTGTGCATATTCTAGCTATGTGGCAATGCGAGAAGCAAGGACGGAAACGACTTACACCTGGTTTGGTCCCTTTGGTGTTGTGACCCAAACGGCGCCACTTGCACCCGCGGCGATGAGAAAGACCCAGATTGTTGTCCAGCCCGACATGGCTTCAGGTATGTGTATGCTGTGCACCGAGTCCGAGTTGACCGATGCGAGAAGGGCGATGGTGACGAAGTTGTGAAGGTGGAGTCGAGATGGCGAAGTGTGAATTGTGGACAGGGGAAGTATGCGTGCATTACGAGCGCTTGGTGCAGCTGTGTCAGGCAGGAATCGAGATAGCAACCGAAAGGAAAATCGGGAAAGCATATCAGAATCGGGATTGAGGGACTGGCTTGTGCGTCAGCCAACTCTTTTGGAAACGGCGAGATTTCCAGAAGAGCGGTGTGTGTGCCTAAGAATCCGCAGCTGCGCAGTTGCATTCTGCACCGATACGTAGCGCGTCAGCTCCGCTCAAGTTGCTCAGAGTTTTTGATGGTCCTGATGGTTCGCTCAGCCTTTCCATTTTGTTCACTGTTGTAGGCCCACGTCTTTTGCCAGCAGAACCCAGCACTGTTCTACCATGCAATTGCAGCCACAGAAATCCATTCTGTTCCATTATCTGACCTGAGTGTCCTAAGCTTGTGACCCATTTGAACTTCAGCATAGTTGATCCATTCCTTTAATATCTAGAGTGCATCTGATTTTGTTTGTAGCAGCTTGACATATGTGAAGCTCAATGCATCATCCACAGCTACCAACAAGCATGTGAACTCTATCTTTGTTGTAAAGTGCATAGCTAGGTCAATGTGTACTAGTTCCAATGGGAGTGGCATGTTCACTGCTGCCTTGTCCCATTTGAGCTTTTGTTGATTTGCTTGCCATGCAATCTTGACATTCACAGGGTTTGGTCTTGAAGTTGTAGATCCTCTCAAACATTCAAGTCTTGTCATGACTTGGATGACCACACTGTTTGTGGATGAAGTTGTTGCTGGATTTGCATGCTTTGGGTTTGCCTTCAGAGTTGAATCATTCTGGTACATCAGACATATTGCCATCCATGGTCATGATCAGTGTGTCACAGAAGCTGCGCAGGAAGATCCAAAATGAGGTATGAGGAGCCTTTTGCACACAAAATTGTGAAACCAACCAGATCATGGGTTTCCAGTTGATTTCACCTGGCAATAACCATGTCATGTCTGTCTGGTTGATTTGGCTGAAATCAATCAGAATATGACTATCTGGTTGATTTCACCAAACACACTGCAAGAAGCTTCCATCAGTACAGAACAAGCCAATGGACTACAAGGAAACATTGGGAGGCTTGGTAGGGAAGACCTCCATGGTCAAGGAGGCCAGGATGGTGGGAAAGGTTTCACATGTGAGGAGAAGGTCCAAGCTCAGCCAAGAAGAGGACCAAGCTCAAGAGCAAGTGGCAGGTTACCACACAGGGGGGATGCGCTCTTGATTGCATAAAAACCAGTCACAAGGTAGACTGCATGGATGGGAGTGGGACAATATGGATGGTCACATGGTCAGGGAGAGCCATCAGATAGGGGCCAAGGGAATGGCCATGGACTGGGAGGGGAGGGGGTTGAGCTGAAAGGACCAACATTGGTACCATGAGGAGGAAGGGCAGTGTTGAGAAGATTAACACACAAGGAGAGGAGGACAGGGACACTCCTCCAAGAGGAGCAGGAGCAGTGCCATGGACAACACCCTTGTCATGGGCCTGAGTGCGCAGGAAGCAGGGAGAACTGCTAGCTCATATGAAGGGAGTGCAGGAATCAGGGGATTGGGCAGATCGTAGGATTTGCAGCAGAAGTCGCCGAGATCTGCAGTAGAATCGGCTCTATGACAGATCTCAGTGAGATCAGTACAAACAAGGATGATATCACAAATTCTGATGAGATCAGTAGTAGGAGAGGTCATATAGTAGATTCTGTGGAGATCAGTGACAAGGATGTTCGTACGATGAATCCACATGTGCAGAGGACCAAGCTCTGCCAAGACGGGGACCGAGCTCAGTAGATTGCAGCTGGTTACCACTCAGGGGTTCACAAGATAGGAGTCAAGAGAACAGTCACCAGTTAGGAGGAAGGAGAACTGTGTCAAGGACACCAGCATATAGTTCATGAGGAAGAAGAGCTGTGTCGAGGAGGTCGCCATGCAGCTCAAGAGGGACAGGAGTAGGGTTACAGGGACTCCTGCATAGCACTCGACGAAGGAGGTACTCTCTGGAGAGAGAGTTGGAGCAGTGGCACTGGCGGCACTGCAAAGAGGTATAAAGCCATACCTTCTCATCACTAAGTGGTCGAGTGAATCCTCATCCACTCTACACTCATCAAACAAACTAGTATTACTACAAGCAATAAGTATCATTAGTTCACAGCCAGCATAGTAGTAATCAACAGATTGCTCCTCATCAAAGCATGTGTGTTGTATCACTGTTTCCTGACATCCGAAGGTGGTTCTAGCAAACCAGCAGTCTGGATAACAATAGAACTGAAGGCAGTTGTCCACTGCGTTCCAGGGATCACTTCAAGCGTTAGTCGACACACTGGACACTCGTGTCGACATCATCTATCCATACTCACACCAGACCATTGGTGTCAACATCAAGTTCACTTAGAGTCGTATCGTAGTTTGATCGTGCCAAGCTACCTCTGGACGGAGTGTCCACAGTGGTCAGTCGAAATCTGTCACAACATCAATACAACTACAGATTCCAACGAGAAAAGCGGCAGAGATGGTTCTGTTGCATATTACACTAGGAATCGTAATACCACTAGTGCTGTCGCATAACTCGACAGAATCGGTGATAGTACTGATACTACTACTGATCTCAGGTTTCAGGTGTGCGACCACTGACATTAGAGTGGATCGTTCAAGCAGCACCCCACAATCAACATGACAGACGAAAGCCTCAACGATAAGCTCGAGAGGCTACTCTCCTTAATGGAAGCCCAGTTGGAGCTTACCAGGCAAGGGCAACATGAAGAGCGTCTACGCCGCGCTTGTCTGAGTGGAGAGGAGACGATCGAGCCCTCCCACCCAGAGGATCGAAGGGCTAGGGAAGACATGATGGGAGACCCTCCCACACCATCCCCAGCGTTGCGTCCAAGGCAGGCAGTATCATTCATGGGACTGAGCAAACTGCTGGTTGACAACTATGACAAGTATGCCTCACCCACTGGGCCCAGATACTTCAGGCCCTGTGTGGATCCGTACAACTGGCCAAGGGCAGAACCTCATGGTTTCGACCAAGAGGATGATACGAGCACCGCTGGAGACCCCAGTCTCTCGCGCTCCAAGCTGGTCACCACCCCATTCCCCAAGTTTAATCCTAGAGATGTTGAGATTTTCATCCTTGAGGCTGAGGCATGGTTCAAATTCAACCAGGTCTATGAGCAGGCAAGGATGATCAATCATATGGGTGCTCAATTGGAAGGGAACGCTCGCGAATGGTGGACTTCCAAGCTTCGCATTGACAGAGGCCGAGAAGGAAGACTGTTCAATGATTGGCACTACTTCACTGAGCGCCTGATGGAACAGTTCAATCCTCGGAATGCCAGAATGGAGGCCTATAACAAACTTCTGGCTCTCTGGCTCACGAGCATTGCACCAGGTGCAGCCACATGCCACATCGAACGATTCAGAGACATAGAAGGACAAGTCAATCTAGATGACAATGAACTAGTTATTGACTTGTTTAGGGGAAGTCTCACATGCAGCCTGCAGGAGAAGTTTGAGCGGAACCCACCTTTAAAGAGGTGGGAATGGTATCGAGAGGTCGAAGAGATCGACTGGCAAAGGATGTTGTTACAGCAGTCCTTGGCCCAGCACCCGAGCGCTGCTCCATTGTGACCAAACCCCAGAGGCCAACCTACACCACCAGCTCAAGGTCCATTCCCTGTGCGGCAACCGACACAGACCTATTCCCGACCGCCAGCACAAACAACAATAGGGAACTTTAGCCAACCAACCAATCAGCTGTTACCCCATCAATCGGTTCAGGGTCCAAGACAAGGAAGCCCTGCATTACCAAGCAGCAACACCTGTCACCTGTGCAAGGGGCTCAGCCATTGGGCCAGAGATTGCCCAAGCAAGAAGTCGGATGCCTTGGGGCCCTGACTCATGGGCCCGAAGGTAATGGTAACCACAGAAACCTCCTTTGAAGAAGGAGACCTGGACCCAGGGGATAACCAGACAGATGACCTAGAAACAGTCAACCCTGATGTCCTTGACTTCAGCCAGTATCAACCATCAATGGAGGCTGGCCAGGAAGAGGTCCAAGAGGATGCTGACGAGGGAAATGGCAGTGGGGTGATGCACTGATGGCATGAATTGCTCTGCAAACCTCCTCGCCATCCTTATGTAAATATCAAGATTGCCCCATATGCTTCTCTACCAGTGGAGGAACGGCAGTACTAGAGCTCTCTGGAATGGGTCAACACCATCCGGCTCGAATACTTGCTGACACCGGCGCTGGACTGTCAATAGTTTCAGATTCCTTTGTTAGTAAGTACCACATACCCACAAAACCTACAAAAACAAGAACCATCCACAGTGTCACTGGGCACCAGCTTGCCATAAACAGTTCAGCTAGCATTCAAGTTGCTATCGGCAAGCACAGTCTCAGAGTAATCGAAGCCTCAGTGGCCGATACTGCTGACTATGACCTTATCTTGGGCTTCACCGAGCTAAGAAGGCTCAAACCCACCATATGGTGGGAGACAGGCCAACTGGAGTTCCAGACCCAGGACAAGGACCAACCCCTGAAATGGCCCCCTGAAGAAGCTGTACCTGGGGAATTACATGTGAACTCAGTGAAATCTGTCATAAGAAGTGACTTATTACCAAATTTGGCAAAAGATGTTATAGCTAGCGAGTTAGAACAAGAGCCCGCTATAGAAGACAGTCTATCACCGAATTCAGCCAGATCGGTGGTAACACACCTCTATGACGAGAAACCGAAACATCTGACCATTCATGGAAATGAGTTCATTTCAGTGGCAAGCCTGATACAAGCTGCCCTGGAGGATGGACCCATTGGGTTCATGCTCCTGGACCTCCCACCCTCGTCGCTCCCAGCCTTCGGGTTTGTACCCACTGGTGCTGACAAGGGC